TTGATACTATTCATATTGTTCATTTTCTAATGATGTCTTCACTTCTTTAATTGAAATGTGCATTGCTAACAGCGGAGCTATCTCAGCCGATAGGCTGCTTGTTTTATTTTCTTAATCCTTAAAAATAGAGCCACAACCGATGAGTTTGAAGTAATAATTTCTTAATTCTTAAAAATAGAGCCACAACCGATGAGTTTGAAGTAATAATTTCATAATTTTTTTTATTTTACAGTATTTCTCATCCTATGAGAGCCTCGAGTTGAAAGTGGACACTCAGTATTTACAGTTAGAATGTTCTAATGAGATTCTGGACGTCACCGAACATATACTAGAAACGTTTAAGATGTTACGGGAATCAGCGTCATCGGCGTCACCGACTTCACCAACTAAGAAGATTTTTAGTAGAAACAGAAAACTAGATATCCAATTTACTTTGCATGATATGAATGGATTTATTTGCAGTTCTGCCAATGGTCAGTTTTCAGACTACATTATACATTCTTTCATGTTGGTGCAATATTTGAACGTCTTCTGTGAGTTTGTCTAATTACACCCAAAAACTGAATATGATATTGCTCATTAAATTCTAACAAATATTTTTAATTTTGTCAATATTTTGTGATAGTAGAACAGATATACAATCAGACTATTTTGAGAAAAAAATACTAATTTTTTGGGCCAAATATGGTGTAACATTTTGCAAATTATTATCCATTTTTCTAAAATTTCTTTGTTAATTTTTGACCCAATAATCATAATTTTATGTTGCCTACTTGTTTTAATCAAAATCTTTTGAAAAATAGAAATAATTAAGGGTTTTTAATATTTTGAATTTTGACAAAAGTTTACTTTGATGCCCAAAGGGTTAAGAGTGGATGTGGCTTTATACTAGTAAAAATTGTGTCAAAATTTAAAAACACTACAAATTCTTTATATTTTGCTCAGCAAAAGGTTCTGTGAAAATAAAAATGAGCAAATAAAAGGAGTGGGTACCTGAGTTAGTTTCCATAGAAACAATGCTATTAAGATTTTCTATGGCATTCAACCCTAACTCTGTGGCCATTTGGAACTGAAAATTCAAACATTATTTTGGGTACCTAAAGTTTTTTCTATGGTCTTTCAAGTAGCCAGTCACATGAAATAATTTTTAAAACATTTCAGGAAATTGTTGTCAAAAGTGTGACAGCTACAGCAATTCATTGTGTTTATTAATATTAGTTAAGATTAATATTTTAGGCACTGTAGTTAATCCAAGCAGGCACAATCCAATTAAATTTCATTAAAAAAACATAAATTATTGTACAGTAGCAGATTTCTCTGGGTTCCTCATGTAATTTTTTTTTGCAAAGCAAAATTAAATTATAAAATAACAAACTTTTCAAATGGAAAAATGTTAACATTTTATAATGTATTCATATTTATTAAACATATTTAATTGTTGTACTTGCAGAGTGTTTAATGTTACGAATGGATAACCTAATGGTGGTGTCTAATTATTCGAGAAGCGAGGCTGACTTAGAGGGCATATTATTTACAAGAGTACAGAAAATTCACAAGGTAACAAGTCTACCATGGCTGAGTCCACTGTGATGTCAAGATGATAGACTGTAACATAAAATCTGATTGGTTGAATCAAAGAAAATTTACAAAACTAACCAATCAGATTGTCTTTTATGAATAAGTCATAATTTGCATGTTCATTCTTCGTTTTTTGTACGTGTTGATTGCAAAGGCACTCGTCATGCATGAACTATGGTTGACACCTTGTGCATTATTCTGTTGTGATGTTCGATGTTCATCATATTTTTTTTTGTGTTTTCCAATTTTCAGAGCCATGACTGTTTCACATTCGCTAAAAGTCCGAAGGGTATTGTCAATCTAGAAAGGTTGAATTTGACACTTAGTGGCGATCCTAAGGTAAAAGCCCAACTTATATATCCAGGGTTATGATTTGAAATGTTTATTCAAACCTGCTGCATGTATTGTAGAAGGTTCTTGTATAAAATGGTGGTTCGTATGTTAGGAGTGTCTCTGTCATTGCACAATCCTTGTTCAAGTTATGTGATGATAAACAAGCTTTTTTTACACATGTGTTAAACGAGACATGAGGGAGTCCCCATGCACCTTTGAATGAAGTCATCACTTGGGGGAGTCACCACCTTGGGAAAATTACTGCCTGTGGAAGTTACCTGGAGGAGTCAATGGCTGTAACCTTGGAAATAAAAAAAAATGACGAATTAGAAATATATAAAAATTATTTAGAGATATAGCTGTTACTAAATGATGTTGTTTGAAGATTTTGGTACTCCTGATGAGCATTGATACTCCCATGATGCATCTCACTATGAGAATGATAGAGTGATTTGCTAGTATAGAAATACATATTAATTAGTTTAGGTTTGAATGTCATTGTTAGTAAATACCTAATTTGAATAAATCAGCCAATTTATAGGTTCTCTACAGTTATCTCCAATACCACTCACCAAATTTAAATGAAACTTGGATAATCCAAGCACCTGATTTCTTTACAGCCGAGATTCATGCATATTTATCACCTAATTTACATAAATATTTTTTTTTTCTGATATCTCAAAAACCACTCAGAAACATACATACATGTTTGATGTTGAATACCATGCATACTAATGATTTAATTTACATAAATTAGCCAATTAATATGTTGATATTTCACAGATAGTTTCACTGCCACTTATCAAATTTGTATGTAATTAATTGCAATTAATATTCTCTATTTGTACTTCATGCCTCCTTTTTTAATTTGTAGCATTCTTTTTTTTTTTTGACCAAAGCTTATCAACAGCTTATTATTATGTTGTCTAAATCTTCGCTTCAATTTTCCTTATAGCATATTATTGAAGGGAATTGTCGATTCTTTTTCACAGTGTAAATTACTGTATATTTCTGTATTCATTTCCTTAAGTTCTGTATTTTTTTTCTTGAAGAGTAATAAAAAAATGTCAAAAAAAAAGCTTATTAACAATACTACTTCTGTGATTATTTTTGGGAATATAGAAATTAATAAATATCTGCATTAAAATATTGATCAGATAAAATACTTGCATGCAAAGTATAGTGTTAAATGCATGAAGGTTTTCTGAACTTGTTTCCTTTTTACTTTCAGGAAATTGGGGTTGAGATTTCCAGCAATTTCTGCATCCAGTGGACACCTACAGATCACATGACAATGTATCATTCAATTCAAGAGGTTCTACAACATATCACCAATATAAAAGAAATCATCCCTAAGTCACCGCAAAAAGAATCTAAGTCTATCAGCAGTATTAGGTTACATGTTCACCAATTACAGTTTTATTACACCATATCAAAAACACAGAGGTATGATAATAAAAATTATTCTCTGTTTTTTATTAGCCAGTATATTGGCCAGCATGTTTTTATAAAACAATATTATTATTATATTTGCCAGTTATTTGTATATGTCAATATATTAGTCAAATATTGTTTTATATACAGATTTATTGGATATTTTTTTTCATTGGCCGATAAAAATATTAACCAATATATTGACATATAAAACAATACAGTAGTGTTATTATATTGGCCAGATGTTTGCATATAACAATATAATTTTCAAATATTGTTCTATATTCCAACATATTGGCTAATATTTTTTTCATTGGCAACCATCAATACAAAATTGACCAATTAAAAAAATTTAAATAAATAAATAATGTTTATTGTCTTTTAGGCCACAGGCCCATGTGACTATACATAACAAAAAAAAAAAAAAGAATACACAAGCACTGGAGAATGTACAGAAATTGTAAAATACATATATATATATAACAAAATTCTTATACCGATAGTAACGAAAACTCCCTTCTAAGGTTGAATGCTTTATGTAGAAATTTACCAAGATTACGTAGTACCTTTGCTGATTTTGGGAAGATGCCAAAAATACTCAGGAATTAACTGTTTTCGCATAGAGTGAAATAATGGGCAAATAAGAACAAAATGGTATTCGTCCTCTACATTAGATAAACAAAACTTGCATATTCTTTCATCAATTTCCAACCCTGTATAGCGCCCCTCTTCAATGCGCAATCTATGACTAGAACAGCGAATACGTGCTAGAAAAATTTAAATCCTAGTTAAACTAGTTATACAATCATGTTATCATGTTAGAAATTGGCCAAAAAAAGAAATTTCTCAAGATTTTATGGATTATATGAAATGACTCCTGATGCAGATTAAAATTGTTCTCCGTTGAATTTGGTACAAATGATGAGCTGTAGATAGGAGCAACCGTAAAGTCTAATATAAGATACAAGCCAACCTGGTACTTATAATTTGTGAGAAAGTTGGTCATCAATCACATGACTATGTTTATTGGTTAATTATTTACACCCATGGACCTACAGGTATATTCTTTTATTTATTATGTTTTGGAAATTAGCTCAAAATTATCCAAAAAATTAGGTTTTTAAAAAATTCTATAGAACACAATGTTAAAAAAAATAGTCACTTTTTGCCGCTTATGAAATCACAAATTTGTTTCAAAATAATTAAGGATAAAATAAAAAGTTCCAATAACAATTTGAGATATGTCTTAATATCAAATTCTTTTTGTTTTTCAGAAATTTCATTAATGTAAATAAATTAACTGTGATGAAGAAAGGGACATCTGTGAATATAACTGCAACACAGAGTACATTGCACTTTGATGACTATTCTATTATCGACATAGAGGTCAGTCTTTATAGTTGAAGTGGTCTATCGTGTAGCTTTGTATCAAACTTTCAGTTTATTTTGCTGTGTCTGAATAGTGTGTACAGAGTAGGCCTGAATATTGCACTATCATTATCAATGTGTCTAAGTACATGTGTTATGTATACATGTATATCTTAAGCTGTACTGTTACCTTCTAAAAGGATTTTTGTTTTTTTAATACCGTATTTGCTTTATGCACAGTACATATAAAAATGAAGTAGGTGTGTCTATGATCCAGTATAAAATAAATGACAGTATTATACATCTGTCACCGTAACGACATAAGTTACAGTGTGCCGTAATTTTGCGGTATTTTATGGGGTATTTTCATCCTACCATATAAGATTATGCGATTTCCAAATATGGAATGATTACATGTGTAAGCGTCCTCTAATAATAAAAACAAACATGGCTGCCACCAGGGTTTGACCGGACGCCACACAAAGAAGTTCGCGGATTCTGTTCTAAACTTTCGGCATTCCCATGATGTATCCTTGGAAGGAAAAGATGTATAATGATAAAGTTATTACGAGAATACCTCAAAGTATGCACTCAGACAGTACTCTGCGCATCGACCTCCGCTGCGCGTCAGTGGATACTCCACTGTACTGTCTTCATGCATACTTTGAGGTGTTCTCATCATAACCTTATATTCATGATAATAACATACAAAGAGTTGGGAAAATAATTTTTATTCAAAGAAAATTTCACTTTCTTGCTGTTTTGGCTGGTGTTTGCATATGCCTAATGGTAGCATTCCATTATGGGTTACTCTCTTGGGACGTATTATATAGGAACTTGTCTTTAACAACAAGTATATTTTTCTGTTAATGTTCAAAAATATTGTGTATAATTGTGTCTTATTTATTGTTGTAGAATATCAGTGTTCAAAGACAAATTGATAACGAACATATTCTTCGAGAAAGACAGACCTTTGACAGTTTGGTTACTACAACTAATGCAGGATGGTAAGTGGTTTGAAACATGGTATATTTTATTTCTGAATTGCATAAAATCTGTGAATTAGTTGAAAAGTTTTACGTGGTATGGGTCATTTATTCAATCGATTAAAAATTGTTCATTTGTCCCAAGATGTGTGTTGTATTTTTAATTCCCATCAGGGAGGATGAGGATTGAGTGATGTTTGTGGTTTTAAAATTATTTCTTACCTGTGTGTAGAAGGATTTTCATTCAAACTTTGTACATGGTGGGTTGCTATGGCATGTTGTTTTGTCTCATGATTAGAATCAATTTCTGGTGTTTTGTTTTTTGTGATTTCAAGTAAAGAAATCTACTTGTAATCAGTGAGAAGAATCTAATTTGCATATTGGACAAATATTAGTAGTTGAACAGCAAATATACTGGTTGTAGGGCCCTCTCTAGAAAGTCACTGTTTTGTTATGAAATTCCAGCCCACCATATGTGAGTAATAATACAGTGAAGGATTTAGCTAAATTTATTGTTGTTTAGCCATTTATCTATAAATTTAGTCTTTAGGGGAATTGGCAAATGGCTAACAGTAGTCTTGGTTTGATTTCAGTTACATTGCTTTGTTTTATGATGTGATTATTAAAATTTTTATTAAAATTAAAAAATTTTTTTGCCAACTTATCACTAAATGCCTGATTCATTCATTATTATCACCTTTTCAGGATACTTAATATGAAAATATTGGATATCAGTTTTCCGCATCAATATAACTTTGCTGCCAACTGGGATCAGGTAAACGTTTACAGCATTATGTTAACCTTTTCACCATTAGACTTTCTTGCCCAAATTTTTCTGTAATTTTTTCTTATATTTTTCAATATTTCTTGGAAATGAACCCTAATTTTGGAGCCAACAGACAAAATTTGAGTCAATTTTCAGTTTGAACTAAAAAAAGTTTGGCTATTTTTGTCCCAATCTTCTGAAGGAAAGTGCAGACTATAAACGGGACTATTTTGTAAATTTGTGATGAAAAGAGGGACCTGGTAGTGAAAAGGTTAAGGCAGTCCAAACCAAATTCAAATTTTACACGACTGACTATGTTACTGCACATAATTGCAGTGCATTATGGGAGATAACATTTCTTTGTATGTAATAACAAACTATGATCACCTTAGGAACTCGCTAAACTTGAATGTCAATTATTTAAAATCTATTAAAAATATTAGGAATTATATCAATATTAATATAAGACTTTTCCATCCTATGTCACCAAGCACAATTTTGAAATATGAATAAATAGTTTCACCGTAGAAACCAGTGTAAAAATGAAAAAATTGACAGTTTTCCATGAGGCTAATCTTAAAATTTGAATTAATGTAATTATGTTTCTAAAACACTCAGCACACGGGAGTTCTTTCTAAGCTTTCTTTGATATTTATTGTTTAATTTTTTGTGATTATATAATATACAAGTAACAGCATTCTTAGAGGATAACAATTTTGGGAAAGTTGCTGTAATTATGTGTCTTCAGTACCCCAGTAAATGTTGCTGTACTACATGTGAACATTTTCATTGCTCTAAAATTTTGCAATTTCACTAAAATGTGTAAAAATTTTCCTCTTACGCAATTTCTGCTCCAAAATTTTACAATTTCACCAAGATTTGGCCTCTTCTGTAATTTCTGATTAAAAATTTTACAATTTCACCAACATTTGTAAAAATTTTCCTCTTCTGTAATTTCTGATCCAAAATTTTACGATTTCATTAAAATTTGCCTTTTGCAAAACTATAGTCAGGTTAACAGTCTTTTGCGTAACCATAGTAAAACACAGAATATAAACACATGTAATTACTACAAAGAATTATGCGATGACTTGGTTTTATATTACTTGCAGGTAATCAATATATTCAAATGGTTAAAGTCTGTGCATAAACGTACAAAGAACAACACCTTATCAGCTGATATGCTAATTCAGATACAGGTATGTACGATTACAAATATGGGTACATGGTTACGAGGGAGGGTGCACGATCTGTACGGCTGGATTGGGAGGTTGATTCATAACACGTTAATGTGGATTTGTAGACTTCTGATCAATATTGTGAAATTGAAATATTATTTTTCTCATTGTCATGTGACAGTGTTCATGTTTGATCCAAAGATACTAATTCAATACAAATGAATGTACTCCATCCATTTTTGTGAGGTCATTAACAGTGAACTTTCACATCCCAAATCAGTGACAAGACACAGTGTTATTTAAAAACACGTCAACTCAGTGATACCAGCAACTCTAAAACCATTATAGTTACATTATTTAAACATTGTTTAAAGTAATAAAAAAAAATAAGTTGACTAGTCTACTTATTCCTGTACAGGTGAACAGACCTGCCTATTTTGTGTCCTTGCAGTTCATTGAAAATCTTCTCTTCTTTCAAGTTATATATTGTTTGTTTGTTTCAGACGATATCTATAAAAATCTGTGATGATCCATTTGAAGTGAAACTGGGTGACAATTATGAGGTACTGTCTATTTCAGTAATTACAACACCACCACGTGACCTTGCTTTCAAGTACTGTAAAATAGTTTATTTGTGCTTGGAATTAATTTTCGCTATTTTCGCTAAAGGAATGATTAAGTGATAATAAAATCCAGCAAATATACTTGTTTTCTTATATTTTACATTCAACTAGTCAAAAATCAGTGAAAATAAATTCCATACAAAACACCCAAAAAGTCTTTTCAGCGAAAATTAATTCCAGTTAAAATAAAGTATTTTACAGTACAATATTTATGTACCTAGCAAGGTGGTTTCACCAGGAGGGTCGGGGTGGGGAAGTGCGAGACTAACAGGGGATTTTTTTATCAGCCATGTCAAATTTCAGACTCACAGGATAAAAAATATATCCAAGAGCAAGACCAAAAAATGCCCAAAAGTGGAATAGTCAAAATTACCCCTTTGTCAGATACATCACAGTATTCTAATTCTCAAGAGATGGAGTAATTTGTGCACTTTATTACCTCTCTTCTGTCTTGCACATGGCATTACTCACAATATGGCCGCATCACTTGTGTAAATAACCATACCACAATTTAAAGTCAGCGTCTATCGTATTTTGGCATCTCAACGATAATGTTGTTGTTTGTTTACAGTTAATGAGAGATGAACATGCTGAAAGTGATCACAGAAGAGAATTATTAAACAATAAAGTAGCTGAGTTACGCCAGTCACACGGAGAATTGCTGCCAGGTATCTATCTCAAGTTGTTTATTCAGCGCAGTGAATGGAACATTGATATCTGGGTCCACTCATTAACTGTTTTACCCCCAGTGACCACTTTTGTATCCTTCCGCAGAATAAATGTAGTTCTGTATTATAATTCTGTTAAACCGTTTTGTCCAAACTTAAAAAGAACAAACAGATATTTGAAAATGAAATAATTTAAAAGAAAGAAACAAAACATATTGAATATTTTTTTAATATTTATTAATAATTCAATGCACTCTGGTGTCAACCGTACTCAGTCAAACAAAAGCACCTGCAACAGGTGATCATTTTTCTTCCAAGTTGCATCTATATGTACTGTAAAATACTTTATTTTCACTGAAGGAAGTATTCAGTGAAAATAAAATCCAGCAAATATACCTTTTTTCCTAAATTTTACATTCAACTCGTCAAAAATCAGTGAAAATAAATTCCATACAAAACACCCAAAATGTCTTTTCAGCGAAAATTAATTCCAGCTAAAATAAAGTATTTTGAAGAATATGATTTTCAACCAGTGGTTTTGATGTCCTGATTAAATCTGGCATACTCAAAAATTTAATTTATTAAAAGTAAATTGTCTTCATGGCAACTAACTCTTTAATGAATCAATCTCCATGGCAGCCAAGAAGATTGCTGAGTTGTACTACTCACTGGACAGAAAGCATGTAGATATTTACATGAAGAGATCAAAACAACTTTACAAGACATCACCAATGAGGCAAACACTGTTACAATGGAGTATGAGTGGACTGGAGATTACAGCCATCTGTGATGAAACACTACACGGGAAAGATAACATTGTTAAACAGATGAGAGATATAGACAATACCAGGTAATGAATAAAACTTTTCACTTGATATGTTCATAAACATAAACTGTTTTTAATTCACAACGAAAAGTTCTGAAAGTGCACAGATTCCTGGCAGTGGAAATTAATTGGTTTACAGTACTATATTTATTTTTCATGCATTGTCACATTAGTTTTGTGGAGATAAGCTCCATATTCAGTGTTTCCTCTAATGGAACTGATTTTGTCAAGATCTTAAAGCGGGAGGGTCATCACCTGCCCACGCGCGGGAATTGAGTCCCAAGCGACGATGACACACGCTAAAAACGCAAAGGCTTATGGGTGGACGCTTGTTTGTAAACAGTGACACGCTATGGCCATCTGATGTATGCACAGATGACGACTCCCCCGCTTTAAGTCAAAATAGAATCAAGTTGGGTTAGTTTGTTGACAGTCAGGAAATGTTTTCAAATAAAATTTTATGGAGTTGTTTACTTCTGAAGTCGCATAATAAAATGCTGTGACCTCTGTTTTTCTTTGTTTTTATACTCATTTTGTTTATTAAAATGTAAATCATTTAACCAAATCACAAAAACTATAGTTGGAAGTTTTCTTCAAAATCACTCTATGACTGTATGTTTTTCTGTTGCGATGCTGACCTGTGAGAAAATGAGCATGACGAAAAAGTTACATCAACTTAGGGGGCACACTGGGCATCTTTTGGAAAAGAGAATGACGAAAAAGTTACATAAACTTAGGGGGTACACTGGACCTCTCTTGGAAAAGAGAATGACAAAAAAGTTACATCAACTTAGGGGTACACTGGACCTCTCTTGGAAAAGAGAATGACAAAAAAGTTACATCAACTTAGGGGGTACACTGGACCTCTCTTGGAAAAGAGAATGACAAAAAAGTTACATCAACTTAGGGGGCACCCTGGACCTCTCTTAGCTCATTTTAATACCATAATGACATTTTTATTTATTTATACAACAAGGGTGGACAACTAGAGTCATCAAATTGAAAGAGAATCACACATTGCTAGCAAATAAGTATATGAAATGCTTGCAGGTCTGTGTAATGTGTGTTCGTTTTGTCTTGAATAAGGTATTTAATATCCTGCTTTTCTGTTTCGGCAATCAAAGTTCACCCTAGTAAGTGTGAATGGTGCCCAAGATGGGATATGCAGTGCATATCATAACACATTGTTAAAAAGCAAAAAAAAATAGATTTTTGTCAGAAAAGAAATGTCACAAAATATTGTAAAAATAGAAAAAAAATGCACATCATTGCATAATTGTTTTTTAAATTCTCAGAATCCAAAACAAATTGTTTTCCCTTAAAAGTTTCCGCTTGTTCCGTTTCGTTCATTTTCAAACATTCATATATTTTTTGTTTTTTCAGTCCTTATCCAAGTGATGGACTACAATTCACAACCCTCTGGTGTCGAATGGTACGTGGGTTTGTCAGACAATTTGATTTGAAACTACGAGATTATCCACAAAGCATGTTAACAATAAAAGATTGGCAATGGTGGGGTAGATTGGTTGGTGCTGAACAAATAGCCGCTCAGAGAGGTAAGTTGAAGGGAAGTCATGCCTTGCATATGTGAGATTTGTGTTGATAGTTATGTGATGGGGTAGACTGGTAGGTGTAGGGGCATTGTATACTTTATTGTAACAACTTTGAACCAAATCGGCCAAATCATGTCTGAAAAAAGATGTCCATTTTGAACTAAAAACAAAAAAAAAGCAAAGGTAAGTCGAAAACGTGAGCATGTGTATAACGTGCATATCAAATTTAAAAAAAAAATTTAATATACATGTCAGAAAATTTTTTTAATTGGGACAAAAATAGCAACATTTTTTGAGTAGAAACCAAAAAATTGCAGCTGTTGGCTCTAAAATTAGGATTCGTTTCCAGAAATATTGAAGAATATAAAAAAAAGTGTAGACAAATTTGGGCAAGAAAATCTGGTGATGTAAAGGTTAGAGGTATTTAACATATTATTTGTTTATATTGCAGCCAAACGTGAAGGTGTCATTAGTCTGGATCCTCCATGGTGTGACGCTATAGTGCAGCGAAGTATGCCCCCGTTGAAATTCTTCCACGATCTTAGTACAGGTAATTACATGTTTGAACATAAAGATGTGTGCATCCTGCTTGTATGCAAAAGTAGTGGTGGCAGTGGTGGTGAGGTTGGGGGGTCAGGGGACATTCTTGAAATATTGGCATCCCTAACTTCACTAGATGTGTGTGGCACATTTCTTTTTACCGACAAGTAATTCTCTTTTCAGCCTCGCGTGTTAAGAGCGTTGGTCTTCGCAATCATATGTATTGAAAATTTATGTAAATGAACAACGCTCCTGGCCCTCATGCATGCTTATTGCTATGCATATAGTATGGGACCCACATCAATCTTATGTGATGTTAACTTCCATCACCCTTTATCTTTTTAAGTATGGACATATTACTAATAAAAGCAGAATCGATTGAATAAAAAAATCTTCAACAATTTTTTGCTGTTGCATAAGCTCAAAGAATAGTCATTGAAAAATAAATATGTTACTTTATAATTTTTTTTTTAAAGCAAAAAAACAAAACTTTTGCCTCTATTGTAATATAATAAATCATGAATCACATACTTTTCTTTCCAGATATGTCTTCCTATACATTGTCTTGGGGTTATTGTTGGGAGAATACATGGGCGCAAGTTAATCTTGCTATGGACTTAATCAATAGGCCGTCTAAAGATCCCAGTTATCCATTATCTGCTTGGGATAAACTTAGATTATTAATCCATGGTAGATTAGTGATGTCAATGGATCAGTTTACAATCCTCTGGTTAGCCTCGTTTGATCCCTATAACACCAGGGAAGTACTGGAATGGAAATGGAAAAATGTCTTCCTTGATTGGACGAATGGTACGTAGGATTTATATCAAAATTCTACTTATTCTAAGTGGGCTTAATATCTTCAGTATGAATGTATTAACCTTTTCACCTTCACTTTCTCACCCAAATTTGTCTGCTTCTGCTTTTCTTATATTTATGGAAATGAACCCTAATTTTGCAGCCAACAGACAAAATTTGAGTCAATTTTGCTGTTTTTGTCTCAATCTTCTGAAAGAACGTGCAGAATATAAACGGGACTATTTTGTGAATTTGTGATAGGAAAGGGAACTGGTGGTGAAAAGGTTACTTGTAACACTGTTTTGTGCATCGCATTCTGGGAAAAGTTTGACAGAAAAGATATTTGCATCAAACAAATGCATTTGTGAAGTTTTGTTTTTACAAATGCCATATAATCGTGAAAGAACAAAAATTTCTAGCAGGGAAAATTAAACTGTTTACAGTATTCCATCAACTGAAACCCAATACCCTAAAACATTTCCATCAAAACAAGGCACATTTTGCATGGTGGAATATCAAATTTGGTGATCACAGATGTTTGAAATTGATCACCACCGAATAGAATAGTCCTAACGTGTTGTGATGCTTAGAATTTCACTAAACGAATTGTCACTAAATGCTGACTGAGTAACAGACTTTAGTTTAACCTCTCTAATGTATCTGTGTGTGTAAAATTTTATCAGAAGTATGCAATAATTATTCTGTTCATTTGAAAGAAATATATCAACAATACATACATGGAAGGCTATTTAGCAGCTTAACTCACCAAAATTTGGGTGCAAGCATTTGCATAATGTACATCTTTTTTTTTGTTAGTTTTGAATTAAATTAACATAGTTTTTCAAATGTTTTTTCAAAGGTTGATGAAAAAATTGTACAAAGTATATTACATTATAGTACATTATATTAAAACATTATATGACAAAATTTGGCATTCTAAGGAATCAAAGAATAAATCATTTACTGATGGAAGTAACCATAGAAACATTGATCATATTTTATTGTGTTCACAGCTCATTTTCTGGTGAAAGGAGATTTAGATGTGTATGTTCGAACACCGTCCAAGTATGATGACTGTCGTTTCTTCCATCTCCCGAACTTTCGTTTAGAGTAAGTTTCACCTTCTCACACAGAATTTGGCAATTTTTCATATGCTCCTTGCTACATTGGATAAGTCTACATATAAAGTTTAAAACCCAAGTCTCAAATTTATGTACAGTCACATGACAGATTTTAAAGGATGGACATTGCCATGCCTCTCGTTTTCAAATTTCATGTAAACAAACAATGTATTTTTACTCGCTGTACATGTGATCACTGCATGGGACCAAAGATTTATAAAACAATGGTATGCAACTGATGTTAATATGTGATAGAATTCTCAGTTTCACATCACATGGGTGATGAGATAACCATATGAAATCACAACACATGTACTCCTAGAAATTCTTACTTTAAATGAGCGAGTCTTTGTAAAAACTGGTTAGTGTCTTTTTTGTGAAGTGGTTTACTTGTATTCCTGGATATTTGCAGAATATGTTTAACTATTTTGCATAATGTAATAACCTCACTTAGTTCATCCAATTAAACCTTTCTAAGTGCCTACTCACTGTGTTCTGTGATATCAATGGTCAGAAATATGTTTCATATGACATGTGTAAGGAACTTAAGCCGACTGAGATGTGACGTCGCATATAACCATGCATGGATATCTAATTTGCATATCTTTATCTGACGTTTAATATATATTAAACTGCAAATAAACTTGGTAATGTTTTACTTTATAAAACTCAATGATGTCATTGTGTGAGGTGATGAATAATTGAGTTTATTTTTTTTTTGTACAGGATTGATTTAAATTGGATCTGTACTGGAGATGCCAATGACCATCATTCCGTAATGCCTTGTGCACCGGACAAAGTACCGGAACATTCTGATAAGGTAATTTACGATTAGGTGCAATCATTCGGTGTTGCCATGTTATTATCTTTAGTATTTTCTAATAACTAAATCTTGTTTCAGGGTCATGACTCGTACGCTGCATTCCGATCGCAGAACGTTGATGTTAACATATCACTGGATGTACTCGGCACAAAGAAGGTAATCAAAGCTCTTATTGGTTGATGTATAGTTGAGATTTAAATGATGTCAGTTTGATTGTTGGACAGTGTGATGTTGTCATGGTAACATACTGTATATTAAATTTTATTGGGAATAAAGGATGCCACGCTTCTCATTATTGTGCAGCAAAGACAGGGATGTGCAAAATAATGGGCAGTGCTGAGTTCTTTATTTCAATTATAGTACCCCAAAATGTTGAATAAAGAAGAAAGAAAGAGATCGTGTGGTTATAAGTATGTCAATGATGCTTGCATCTCAGGTATTGATAAAACATTCATAATCAAAAGACATGCAAAAACACACACAGAATTTTGCAGATGAAATAACCAAAATATCTTAACTAGAACAATTATAATGTTATTTAAACATTCTTACAACTATTGGCAAACATTGGATATCACCAAGTTACACACAAACCTATCCATTCATCCCATGCATTGCTCAGTTATTGTCTGATAACGTCATAGCACATTATGGTACCGATTGGCCAATGAGAATGCTCGGTTGAAGTGCACTGTATTATAAATTACTACAATATATCAGCTCCCTATTTAATTGCAATAATTATTGTTTTACACAATGAAATTTTTTCATAATCTTGTGATTGTTTTATATTTGTAGGGTGACACACTTGGTGATGTACCTTCCTCTCTGTTCTATGCAAGTACTATGAGATGGTTACAGAACTTTCAGGTAATACAAAACAAGAATCATTAATCGACAAAAATGTTCTGACAAGTAATTTTTGAGTTGTTGACTGCTGATAAAACCTGGAAATTAACATCATAATATCTTATCTCATATTTTCATTTGGTTCCAAGGTGATTTTTAGTGCCATTTCAGATTAAATCCTAAAATAGAAACTGGTAAATTGTAAATTTATCTATTGTGTGTCCATACATGCATCCATCTGTCTGTCTGTCTGTCTGTCTGCACTTGTATCTTGTACATGCCTGGACCAATCACATTCAACTTTTACACATGCATCATACATCATGGAAAGATATGCACATGCAATTGATTCAATTCAAGATGGATGCATGCATGGCAGCCATTTTAATGTTAAAAAAATGCTTCTGCTAATCTGAAATCGGTTCTTGTTCAATGGTCAAACTTAGGACATACATTCAACATAAAGCGATCTTGAAGCTATTCATATTTTTTCAAATCAGATTGTTGGCCATTTTGTTTTTGAATTAATGAATGTCATATCTCTGACATGCTTTGACTGATTACAATCAAACATTACAACTACATTATACATCATGTCATCATGCATGCATATGCATTTTGTTTTGATTCAAAATGGCTGACTCATTTTAGTTTTGTTTACAAGGCTGTGTTATGTTTTATGGCTCAGTGTTACATGGATTAAAAAACAATTCTGAACAAATTTTATATTGTATTCAAGTTGGATTATTCAAAATTATGATATCTTTTTACTTTATATACATTGTATTATTTTTGTTTTTTTTACTTAAAGTCTATTTTGAGGGAAGTAACACGACCTACAAAGCGAGGTAAACTATTTAAGAACACCAAACCAAAGAAGCCATTACTGAGCAGACACTACAGGTATTATTATTGCTGGGAAAGGATTGACCAGCTTTGTTATTAGTCCAAGAAAGGTGTTCCACTTGGAATGTGTCTGAACCCCTCATTTAATATGCAAGAATGTAGAAATGTACTAAAAATTGTTTTTCTGGAGTAAATTGTAGTGTATTTTACTTATGAATGGTCAAAAAGTGCATGGAGATTTTATGAAAATGTGTGGATGTTAACAGAATGATGTCGTTTGGTCGCAGTTGCGCAATAAATAATGAACTATGTGTCAGCAAAGTACTCACACGTGTGCATGATTCTAAGAGTTTGTGCTGTGAAGAAACACCATTGAAAAATAAGTATTGTGTGATTTGTAGTGAGAATGTATTCAAATAGATTTATGTTTATGAATCCATGAATGATAAATGGTGAGATTCTTTAATACTCTGTTCCAGGTTTGTGGAGTTTAATGTCAAGTGGCCCCAAGTAGTTGTATCATACTGGGCTTCATTTGCTAAGCAACATGGGATAGAAGTCAACCTAGGGTCTGGGTCATTTGGTTTGAAGACGATAAGAACTTTGACAACATTCACTGATGGATTGGTCAGGAGAAAAGAGGTAGGAAAGAGAATTATTTCTTCAATTCATATTTGTTTGTTTCAATTGATTTGTTTTCTTTGGATCAGTTTAAATAGCTGGCTTTGTTGTTCTGCGACATTGTACTACCACTTTATCATCTTGCATTATTGTCATAACACTTTATCGTCTTGCAACATTTCTTGCAACATTGTTGTTCCTCTTTATCGTTTTACAACATTGTTGTACCACTTCATTGTTTTACAACATTCTTGTACCACTTTATTGTTTTACAACATTCTTGTACCACTTTAGTTGCGTTCATGCACAGCTCCTTAGCACGGGCTAAGAGGTCAAATTCCTTAGCCCGTGCTAAGAAAACGTGCGTGAACGCTTAGCACGGGCTAAGGAATGCTATGTACGGGTTAAATCTGATCCGAATTTAAGACGCGGTCTAGACCCTTAGCACGGGCTAACGAAGTATGCGCGAACGCTTAGCCCTGGGCTAAGCGCCCTCTGCGGCGACCTTTGGGTGTGAAATTGTCCCATGTTCGACTCTATTCACCA